TCAGGGGATCTTCTCAATGCAGCGATTGAACTCTGGTCTTTTATGTCTCCTCCATTGCAAGGAGGGTTCTTTACCACTAGGGCCACCATTGCAGCTGCTCCGAATTCCTTTCCTTTTCCCCTGCCTCTCTGGGGAGGTTTTCTCCCTTCCTGGTCTTTTCTCATGCAAAGAAATTTAAACTCTATTGGCTTCTCAGAAAGGGTCCTGCTTAGATGCCCCGAGAAAGGCGAACCTATTAATAATTGATATTTAGATTTCATTTTTGTTCCTCTCATGAACTCAAGGATTATCAAGTGAATTTATAAAGGACCAGCTGCAAGAAGCCTCAGGTCTTTGCTTTTTGCAAAGCAGGAATGATTCTGAATTATTTGCAGACCTTGAAAATCCAGAGCTCTAATCAAGAGCCCTTCTTCTAGGGCAGAAAATTAACACCTTCCGTGAAATCTCTGATTTCTCGGCTTCTCTCTGATCTCATGGTTTCTCAAACGGGGCCTCTGGTATAATAGACACTTTCTCATTTTCCCCATTTGACACCAGTTCACTGTTGGTCAAGGTGCCCTGCCGGAGGCCAGAAAGAAGAACCTGGGCTGGGGATTTACAGACGTGTGCCCCTGGGGAAGTCCCTCCAGGTCTCTGAGCCTCATCGTGAGCCCGAGCAGGGGGAGAGGTCGCTGTTAGACACCGCTGAAGGCCAGGGCAAGCTCCAGGATGCAATCAGCTTGGGTAGCAGACAGGGAGGATCAGAAAGACCAACCAAAGAACAGAACCCTCAGTTCTCGAAACTTCACCAATTCTTTGTTACCTAGGACCCAGTGATGGGCTTTTCAGTTCATCAGCATTTCTTTGATGCTGATCTCCTAAGTGATACTTAGGAGATTCCTTAGCTACCAGCATCCTTAGAAGAACTAAGGAACCAAGACATCACTCTCAGCGTATTTGGCCCAACTGAGGCAAAGTGGCCAGCAGAGAAGTCTGGAACCTGGGGAACTCACATTGGAAGGTCGGGGAGGCAGAAACCAACACAATATTGTAAAGCAACTATCCTCCAACTAAAAAGAAAGACATTTTTTTAAAAGGCCAGGGAACTTCCAGAATTGATCTTGACACCAGCTGACACCTCAGAGTGGCCAGGAATTTGCTACCTTCACTCCTTTAAAGCCTGGAATCCTAAATGTCTTGTTGTTATTACCTTACTGACTGTTGTTCACAGTTATAAATTCATTTGGTATAAATCTTAACGTCATATGTATAGGACTGTCATAAGAATTACTGTATGACCCGGCACTAATTAATCTCTGTTGAATGTGAAGTGCTGGGCTTCCCTGGTGGCTCAGTGGTAAAGAAGCAGTCTGCCAATGCAGGGGACATGAGCTCGATCCCTGGTGCAGGAAGATCCCGCCTGCCATGGAGCAACGAAGCCCATGCGCCACAACTCTTGAGCCTGTGCTCTCAATCCCAGGAGCTGCAACTCCTGCAACAAAGCCTGAGTGCCCTAGAGCCAGTCACTGCTCCGCAATAAGGGAAGTCACCACCGTAAGAAGCCCTCAGACTACAACTAGAGAGAAGCCCAGGCAGCAACAAAGATCCAGCACAGCCAAATATAAATAAATAAAATTACAAAATAGAATGAAGTGAAATGTTAGCGATCAAGTCATACTTCTTGGGTTCTTAAGCCACTGGCAGAGCCTTTGTTGTAACTATTATTATTTGTGAATGATGCATGGCATTTTCAAATATATGCATTCAGAGATTTCTCCCAGCACCCCGCTCCACTATCTATACATCACTGCTGCCTTGCCAAACAGATTTGTCCAATCAATACCTCCGTGTCATTATCTTTAAAGATGTCACCTTGTGTTTGCAGCTGTTAGTCCATCAATATATGTAAAGATTTCTGAGCAGCTTCTATAGCTGTGAAACGAATCATATTTTTACACCATATTCATCTCAAGGACCATCCAGCTAGGAAAGACATCAGGATCTTTTCTATTATGCCATGAAAATATTCTCTTGATTGCCTACCATACCTTATCACAGAGGGGTCGATTCACCACGAAACAAGATCATATTTTAGAATGTGAACATTAGAATCAGATTACTTCGAGCGGAGTGTTACTGTAACTCAGATAACTTCATATGAATGTATTTAGTATATCACCTCAAACATGCTGATGCCAAGTGAAAAATGATAAACAATGCGGATGTTTGTCATATTCTCACCAGACACTGAATGTTCTAAATACACAGCCCATCCATTCGCTCTGGTGCAAATGGGAACGAGCAGAAACAGACACCAATGGTAGAGAAAATATTCAGCAAAGAAACACAAAACGGTAAATCATCATGGTGCTGACACTTCGTGAACTTGACCTTAAAAGATCTCAACAGCAAAAGAGAGTTGTTTTTAAGGGGTCAAACTATAAATTTAATTTATGTGGGGTCTTGTGATATGGACCCAAAGCAGAGGTGACATACATATACAATTTTGAGTTAGACAACTCATTTGACTCATTTTTTTTAATTTCACTCCAACTTTTCACATTTGATTAGCCCTCTTAGTATTTAATTCCAAACCCCTAGAGCAAATGCCTAGTGTCTACTGAATTCTTTTTTATTCCATAGTTGTGTGTGTGTGTGTGTGTGTATGTGTGTGTGTGAAAAGCACAGCGTGATGCAAGCGAGTCAGTGGTTTACTGTAAAGTACAAGGTCTGTGTAACTCACATCCTTGTTGGCTTCTATCAGAAGCTGCTGTGAGTCTCCTTGAGACAGTGTTTGTCTCACTCTTGGTCATGACAACATGATGGATATGATCCATCATGTTCATTTCCTTCCTGTGTGCCTTGCCTTATTGGAACAGGCATGAGATGATGGTAATCTGATGAAAACTCAACATGATTTGTTTATTACTGGAGGTTTATTTAAGGCAGTCACCATGACCTATATCCATTAGTAACCTCACAGGTTCTTAAAGGGACGCTAATAATAATACCTGCTTTGTTCAAAACTCGGTATACTGAGTACAAGCCCACACAAAAGTCGTTTCCTTGCTCCACCTCTCCCCTGCCTTCCCATCCCTTTTAAGAATCACTTTGAGTTGTATACACTTTTACACACAACACACACACACACACACACACACACAAGAAAACCTCAGGACATTAATAATCCAATGTTACATAGTGAGGTGCACTAAAGAAAATAAAAATGCCCAACACTCTTGAGGGAAATGGAATTCTCATGACCTGACATGGTTTCGAAACGTTTATCTACTAACAAGAAAAGAAAAACCAAGTCCGGCCAAAAGTTGCAGACGTTTCCTCATGTCCACTAACCCAGATCCAACTAGTGTACTAGAGTGGTGGCCGCGCTCATTGTGTTCTGCTGACACCAGGCCAGTTTAGCTTCTGCAAGATCACTGCAAACCCCAGATGGGAGAAACTCCATGCCCATGGCGTCCAGCAAGGAATTAAGCATCTGACCAAGCGCTCTCTGGGAAAAACAGCTGTATCAGTGGGAAAATGAGAAGATGAACCAGGCAAGTCTTTAAAGAGCATTTGTTGATGAGGCCTCACCTTGTAGAATACTAGCAGAATCTCTCAGCTGAGCCTTCTATCTGGATGTATACACAGGTGCACCAGGATAGTCAGCCCTCCATATCTGCCTACTCCCCATCTGCAGAGTCAATGAACCACAGGTGCAAAATTTTCAAAAGAAAATTCCAGAAAGTTCCAAAACCAAACTTGAATTTGCAGTGGGGTCAACTATTTATATAGCATTTACGTTGTATTAAGTATTGTTGATTTAAAGTGTATAGGAGGGTTGTGGTTGTTTTTGTTGTTTAAGTTACTAAGTCGTATCCGTCTCTTTTGCAACCCCATGGACTGCAGCCCACAAGGTTCCTTCTGTCTGTATGCGTAGGTTTTATTTGAATACCATGCTATTTTATAATAAGGGGCTTGAGCATCCTCAGATTCTGGCATCCATGAGGGGTCCTGGAATCAATCCCCCTCAGACACTGAGGGACCACGGTAGCTAAGGATGCAGTGTGCAGGTCCACAGAGCTTATGTGTGCACGCTAAGTCTCTTCAGTCATGTTCAACTCTTTTTGATCTTATGGACTGCAGCACACCAGGCCCCTCTGTCCATGAGATTCTCCAGGAAAGAATACTGGAGTGGGTTGCCATGCCCTCCTCCAGGGGATCTTCCTGACCTAGGGATGGAACTGCGTCCCTTATGTCTCCTGCATTGGCAGGCGGGTTCTTTACCACTAGTGCCACCTGGAAAGCCTCAATAGAGCTTAACTCTGTTCAAAATTATTTTAAGAGCCTGCAGAAAATATGAATAAAGCACTGTGTTTTGATGTGTTTGATTTGTCAGCATGAAAGTTTTTTTGGTGTCCAGATATTTGAAGTGGAAATAGAAGACAGTCTCCTAGGTGACTCACTGGTAAAGAATCCACCTGCAATGCAGGAGACCTGGGTTTGATCCCTGGGTCAGGAAGATCCCCTGGAGAAGGAAATGGCAACCACTCCAGTATTCTTGCCTGGAGAATTCCACGGACAGTGGAGCCTAGCGGGCTACAGTCCATGGGGTCACAAAGAATTGGACATGACTGAAGCGACTTAGCATGCACACATGCAGTACAACCTTTAGACACTTTGCTTCTGGTTTTCTCCATAAGAGAATAAGCCAAACAGATGAAAGACTGAATTTGGAGGAGCTAGTTCACTCCTATGTTTCTTTGCTACCTCCTTTAAATTCAGTAGAGGAAAAAAACCCATGAAACAATGATTATATGAGATAGGAACTAGAAAGTCATGGGTTTCCCAGGTGGCTCAGTGGTAAAGAAACTGCCTGCCAATGCAGGAGATGTGAATTCAATCTCTGGTCAGGAAGATCCCTTGGAGGAGGGTATAGCAACCCACTCCAGTATTCTTGCCTGACAAATCCCATGGACAGAGTTTGGTATGCTGCAGTCCATGCGGTTGCGGAGTCGGACATGACTTGGAAACCAACCAACAGCAACAAAGAGAGCCATAGTGCTAAGCGGGAGAGACTAACATACAAGAAGGTGACTCCAGGCCACAGCACCCAGTGTGCTGGTTGGTTGGTAAAGCCTTGGGGTACTTGCCCCAAAACAGAACCGTTGCTTCAGTGACCCAACTTCGACAAAATCTATCCTAATGGCCAGATTATCAACACCACATGAAATGCACGGTCAGGATATTTATCAGTAGAAGAGTTTTCCTTCAGTCACCAGATGAAGCAAAGATGATTCCACCTTGAAGGTTAATGACCTGACCAAAGAGTCTGAGTTTTTCTTCTGAGTAGCTCTCTGGCCCTGGGTTCTTTAAAACTGAGATTTTCTGCATTAAACACAAGCTCGATAACAAACCCGTGTAGCACCATTCTGTCTGCCTTTCTTGAACCAAATGAAAGCTGTTATTTAGTTTTGACTCTTGCTCACAAGATGAAGTGGTCTCTTGGTCTCCAGAGATTTGTAACCTCACACGTGCAGAAGGACTATAAATTATGTGCTTTTGTTCCTAACCTGGCAACTTCTTCCTCACACTTTTTTCCTGTACAAACATCTGAAGAAAGGACTCAGAAACTGTGGGCAATGGTGCTGTAGGGAGAGAGACTTCCTTTGAAGGAGAGGGAGGGAGAAATACTTTAGAGGATGAGGAAAACACTCTGAACCATGGGGTTTGGTGAAGCGAGCTTAACTTTTAAGAGGTGGTTCTGGCATCTCATTTGAATTTACTGTTGTTGCTGTTTAGTCGCTAAGTTGTATCTGACTCTTTGCGACCTCATGGAATATAGCTTGCCAGGCTCTTCTGTCCATGGACACTCCAGGCAAAATGCTGGAGTGGGCTGGCATTTCCTTCTCTAGGGGATCTTCCTGACTCAGGGATCAAATCCTTGTCTCCTGCATTGGCAGGCAGATTCTTTGCCACTGAGCCACCATTTGAATTTATTAATAATAGTGAAAATCTTCCCAAGAAAACACAAAAATAGACCATCTCAAACTCAGCAAAAAACCCCAAACACCATCTGTTGCTGCAATGAACCATTTGACTGGGAGAGGAGGTAGCTGACAAATAGAAGTTCGCACATAAATATCCACTCTGTGTCCTCTGCCTGGGACCCTTGCTGGGATGCTCAGATTACTATGTTCTTTTAAAAAAAAAAGTGTGAAAGCATGTACATGACACATTTATGTAGCTTTGGAGAAGCAATTTAGATTAAGCAAAGGTGTCAAAGAAGTTTGAAGTAAGAAATTTTTTTTCTTTTCTTTTCTTTATTTTTTTCTTTTATATTGGAGTACAGCCCATTAACAATGTTGTGATAGTTTCAGGTGAACGGCAAAGGGACTCAGCCATACATATACATGTATCCATTCTCCCTCAAACTCCCCTCCCATCCAGGCTTCCACATAACATAGAGCAGAGTTCCCTGTGCTATACAGTAAGGTCCTTGTTGGTTATCCATTTTAAATATAGCAGTGTGTCCATGACCATCTCAAACTCCCTAAACTATCCCTTCCTCCCATATTCCACCACCCTCCCAGCCCTGGCAACCATTAATTCGTTTTCTAAGTCTGTGAGTCTCTTTCTGTCACATAAGTTCATTTGTAACATTTTTTAGATTCCATATATATATATACACACATATATAAGGAGTGTCATATGATATTTCTCCTTCTCTGTCTGACTTATGAAGTAAGGAATATTTTGATGCTGCTTTGAAGGGACTTCCCTTCTAAAACACATAATCGTCCCTTGATGGTTTTTGACTTGCTAAACAAGATCACTGCATTGAACTGTAGTTTAAACCCACCTCTAAACCAAGGGCTGGTTTGCAGTTGCTCTGACCAAGCCAGAATTCCACTCTGTTTCAGAGATGCTAAAAGGGAAAAAAAAATTATCTGGGAATAAAATACTTTTTAAAACTTAACCCATGGCACAACTGGGCATTGTCTTTATCGGGGAAATCATGCTCTTGGCATCAGCAGAGTGTTTGCGCTTCAGTGTCCTCTCGAAGCAGTACGATGAAAGGGCAGAGACTGGGGTTTGGTAATGAAGGAATGGCTTTCCAGATCTGCCTGGTAAACAGCAGTTTGATTAGATCATCTGGCCTTTAATAAAGAAGAATGGGAGCAGCGGAACAGGGACCAGACCAAAACAGAAAACCCTCCTCCAACCTCACACCAAATGTCCCTGGGTTGTCCTCGCGACTTCAAGTTGACCCACATCGGCAAAGCCCCAGGGAGCAGTTAGCACCGGAGCTGAGAGCTCGGTCCTGCCTCTGATGTTTACAGTGACAAGAGCGATGCGGCCACGCGGCTTTCAGCGGCGGAACCCGCGGCCGTGCCCGAATCGGCCGGTAGATGGCGCACCAGGCCTCCGCCTCGGCCGGCCGAGCCGCTTGGGCTGGTGAGGCAGGCAAGGATTTTGATTCCTCAAAAACATAAATTCTACTTGATGAACAATAATAATAAAGGAAATTGACTACTGGGCACCATGGAGATGAATTTTTAAAGCCCAGAACTCCAGTTATTTGAGATTATTTAATTTAATTTACTAAATTTGAATAACTGTGGTGTAATGACGCATGGCAGGGCATTTAGGCTTTATGGCTTCTAAATGCTCCTCTTTAGGGCGATTGCTCGGTTGCTTGGTCGCCAGAGAACTCCTGTCCCGATCTCTAAACCCTGTAAACAAATTGGGAGAAAAATTGCACGTTGGGTGAAAGGCAGAAGCGGTGTGGGGGGCCGCGGGGAGGGAGCCCAGTTACAAAATTTCCCTTTGGGGGCAATGCACCACCTCAAAAGTACTGGAAGGTCAGTGCTAAGCACTTTCTTAATATAAGCACAGCAGCGGAGCCTAAGCTAAGTGCTTTCCAGCTGCTTCTTGAAGTAGAATCCTTATCTCTTAAAAATACAAATAAGATTTCTAAAAATCTTTAATAATCTCTAATCGTCTTTGTTAAAGATCTTATCTTATTAAGAGATAAGGATTCTACTCCAAGAAGTACCTGGAAAGCACTTAGCTTAGCCTCTGCTGCTTTCACATCTAAATTTTTTAAGTTGGTGAATGTGTGTGCTAAGTCACGTCCAACTGCGACCTTATGGACTGTAGCCCGCCAGACGCCTCTGTGCATGGGGTTCTCCAGCCAAGAATATTGGAGTGGGTTGCCACGCCCTCCTCCAGGAGGATCTTCCTGATGCAGGGATCGAACCCAAGTCTCATGTCTCCTGCATTCGCAGGCAGGTCCTTTACCACTAGTGCCACCCGGGAAGCCCAAGGTGGTGAACATACGTCTCTAATACAAATGAGGACACTGCAAAACTTAGAAATTCTGTTCATCTTCTGATCCACAAAAATTTTCTACAAGCAGATGCAAAAAGTCCTTTTATAAAAACGCAGCCCCCACCTTCCCCTCCGTGTAGCTCCAGCACGCACGTTCTGTGTTTGCACAGACGTGAGTGTGTGTGCGTGCACAGGCACACGTATTAGTTCAGAGATCTTCGGGTGTGTACACGTCTGTGCAGGGATGCACACGCTGTCTGTGTGCCCCTCTCCTCTATTGTTTTCAGCATAACTGATTTTGGCACCAGCTCTTTAGCACTGTGGAAGGGCCTTCATTAGCACTGGGACAGTGTCCAAGAAGAATCCAGAAAAATCAACACATGGCTGCTCTTGTTCTCACGATAAATGACAGCTTTGGTGGAAAACAACAACAGTCAAGAAGCAAAACAAAAACCAAAAAGCAACAAGAGTAGCGATAACATGAATAGAAGTCAGACATCATGAACTCAGATTTTTTTTTAAATTAAATGCATTTATTTATTCCATTTTTACAACTCTCTTCCTTTGCCACTCACCCTCTGGGTACTTTCACACCATTAGAAAATATAAATAATGAAAGTATTTTAAGGATCCTAAGTAAAAAACCTGAACTGAACTGAAGGAAAAAAAACAACAACAATCATGTGGTCTTATGTCTCTTTATAGACACAAACATGCTTCTTATATTCTTTAAAATGTGTGAAAACATATAAGGGGCACATTTATGTAACCTTATTGTTATGGTGAGGCATAAGCTGCTCTATCAGTAAACTGATAAAGTAAACTATATCAGTCCCCAAATTGAACGCTGTTCTTTGAACCTTTCATACCAATAATCCACAGTTCTTGGGAACCAGGATTCTGAAAAGATGAACCTTTCTTGGAAACTAGAATCTCCCTAATTACCCAAAAGTCTTGCCTCAAAACCATTAACGGGAACTTTGGGTCATTCAGCTGCCGCAAGATTATGTAAAGAAGGCAGTAATTTCTAAACTAGTCAAAAATCCAATAACAATGCGTGTGTATACGTGGATATGTCCTTCCATCACACCTAAATAGGTAGATGATAAACCACACATTGAAGGAAAGCAGTAAACAAACCAACCAGGGAAGACTTGGCTTCAAAGGGTTAATTCCTTTGCTCTTCAGCTGTCAAAACAGTGGTGGAAAATTGAAGTGTGCGCGGCCCTTTAAGGCCAGAGGCTGTGCCCAGGAGACCAGCCAGCAAGAGAGAAAATCCCACTGGGTCTTGAGCAAAGAAAAGCTATGAAGCTATTGTGCTATTCATCTCTCCATTAATCCTTCGCCTTCTCTTTCCTCAGTTTCTCAGATTTTGTAAGTTGTTTGTAATTGGAGAGTCTTGAAATTTTTCAAGGAGAAGGGAAAGAGGAACAAGAGAGCAGTGACACCAAAGTGAAAAAAAGAAAAGGAGGGAGAAAGTACCTGGGATTTGGAGGCATGCACTTTCTCCCTTCCTTTAAAATGTTTCATTGCTGTCCCATTTCTTTTTCCCTTTTCCTTGAAAATTTTTGAGACCTTCCTTGCTTCAGAAGAGGACAAGGACGAGTGTGGGTGGGGTTGAACCCTGCAGGATGCTGGTGGTGAGAGTCCAGGGGAGAAGGAAGGTGGACGTGAGTAGGTGGCAAGAGAAGCCTCTGAAAGAACCCACTCTTAAGCTTTAAGACATGCTGGGAGAACAGTTCTGGAGTAACTCAGCATCAGGAACAGCCTGAGAGGGTAGATCACGGCAGAGAGGAAACTCCAAGTTAATTTGTTCATTTCACACAGGTTTATTAAGTGCCCCTGGTGTGACAGCCAGGTTTCCCCCATGGTTCAGTGGTAAAGAATCTGCCTCCAATGCAGGAGACACAGGAGACATGGGTTTAATCCCTGGGTCAGGAATATCCCCTGAAGGCCATGGTAACCCACTCTGGTATTCTTGCCTAGAAAATCCCATGGACAGAGGAGCCTGGTAGGCTAGTCCATTGGATCACAGAGAGTCAGACATGACTGATGGATTGAGAAAACGGGCATGATGTGACAAGCACCCATTAAGCCCTAGGCAAGCGAAAGTTAACAAGCTACTTCTTCTCAGTGACTTTCTTATGGAGAACATGGCCACCGTCTTGTCTGAGCTCAGACTCAGTCAAAGTACAAAATCCTCTAATGCAGGAGACAGAGGTGAAAAGCCTATGAGTCTGTGGGTCAAGAAGAAATTAAGTCCATCTCTCCTGATCACTGAATGTTGAAAGGACACCCTCCCAGGAGTCCCGTGGTCATTCCAAGCTACAGCTTAAGTATCTGCTGACAACGGGATTCCCTGGTGGCTCAGTGAGTAAAGAATTCACCTACAGTGCAGGAGACATAGGTTCGATTCTTGGGTCGGGAAGATCCCCTGGAGGAGGGCATGGCAACCCACTCCAGTCTTCTTGCCTGGAGAAGCCAATGGACAGAGGACCCTGGCGGGCTACTGTCCATTGGGTCACAAAGATTCAGGCACAACTAAAGCAACTGATCATGTGCGCACATCTGTTGACAAGAGTCCATCCTTAGAAATGGCTCCATTTCAACCCTTTAATGATCATTATTATGAATAAGCTCATGCTGGACAGATTGTCTCACTCTCCAAGAAGGACCAGAAAGCCGACTGAAAAGTCTCCAAGAGGAGGAGAGCTTCTAAACAGATCAGAGGCTACCTCTCAACAGCCTATTCAATAACCCCACAGAGGAGGACAGAAGCGGCCCGGCTTTTGGCAGGAAGACCAATGTCAACACTCTCTATATTTATTTATTGGCAGTTTGGAAGGCAGCCACCATTTATGGTCCTTCATTCCCAAGTAGAGGGAGCGATGGTTCCTGCCAACAACGTTTCCATGCCACCTGACAGGTCTCTCTCTGCACAAGCCAGGAGGGGGAAGGGATCCAGGACATTCACCATTGGGCGCCATGTTTGTGACATATTTAACGCTGCCTACACTCCCAAAGATGCCAGCTGGAGAAGAGAGTGGGCTGCAAGCTCCCCAGAATGGCTCAGCTCTCACAGATGGAAGGCTTGGAAGGGCAGAACCTGACATGTCCACACCCAGTCACACAACCCCAGTGCAGTCAAGACCATATTGGCATTCTGTTTGGGAGGTACAACTGGAGTGATATGTGAGGACGGTGGAGAGGCTCCTACTGTGATTCATGTCCATGTGGTTGAAGATATGTCTGGGAAAACTGTCCTGAGACATGGCCAAGGACATTGGAATTTGCTTTAATGGAGCAAAGAGGGAAAGCTAGAATGGCTGTGGGACCTGTAATGATCTTCAGAATGATCCTGGGTAACTGAGCTTGTATTTGATAGTAAACAGTGGTTCTCAACCTATAGAACAACTGGAACAAGAGAAACTGGAACATTTTAGAGCTGGATAGGTCCCTAGTAGGGCTTCCCAGGTGACTCAGTGGTAAAGAATCTACCTGCCAATGCAGGGGATGTGGGTTCAATCCCTGGGTCTGGAAAGATCTCCTGGAGAAGGAAATGGCAACCCACTCCAATATTCTTGCCTGGAGAATCCCATGGATATAGAGGGGCCTGTTGGGCTATATATAGTCCATGGTGTCACAAAGAGTCGGACATGACTGATCGACTGAGCAGGCAGGCAGGTCCTTAACAACTATCTGGTCTGACCTCTTCAGTTGTAGGATAATGAGGTTTATTTTTTAGGGGAAGATTCTGGACCAGAAGTAGTTCCCCTAGGTCTAAATGGAGTGCTAGATTCTCACCATGGGCTGATACCAGCCCCCAAAGGATCAGTTTAAACATTAGCAGAAGCACAGACAGAGAAGGCAATGACAACCCAATCCTGTAATCTTGCCTGGAAAATCCCATGGACGGAGGAGCCTGGTAGGCTGCAGTCCATGGGGTTGCTACAAGTCGGACACGACTGAGCGACTTCACTTTCACTTTTCACTTTCATGCATTTAAGAAGGAAATGGCAACCCACTCCAGTGTTCTTGCCTGGAGAATCCCAGGGACGGGGAGCCTGGTGGGCTGCCGTCTATGGGGTCACACAGAGTCAGACACAACTGAAGTGACTTAGCAG